CATCCGCATAAGCGGAGACCCTAAGGAGCCTTGGGTAAAGGCTCCGGACCAGGGGGCGCACTGGGGAAGTGCCTCTTTGTCAACCTGACGGTCGGAAATTGAGGCTCTCCCCATGCCCCAAAGGCCCTGCCGCGTTGTGCCTTTGTGGGGACTAGCAACGTCACCGGTTCTCAGAGTGATGAAAAGCGAAGAGGCGATGAAGCGGAAGTAAAAGAAAGCGAAAGACGGCTACTGTGAGTGACAATCGAACTAAAAGATAAAGACTTAAGCGCATCCCCCCCCCACTGGACTAAGCAGACGGGAGGAGGGTGATAGCCCCCCCCAATAGAACGAGAATGTTTTAATCGAAAAAGGGGGGGAGAGTGAAAATTTTAAATAGTAAAGTTACCTTTTGGGAAATTCTTTAAAGTAAAGAGGAAGGAGCAAGTCCGAAGCTGCGCGGCACGAACTTTTAAAAAGTAAACAATAAAGTCAAAATGTCGGGGCAAAAGAAGCTGCAGGACAAGCCGGCAAAGAGGACGGGAGGGACTTCCGGTCTTAACCCCCGCCCTACTGAGCTAGCTGTCAATCAACAAGAAAGTGAGATGCTTCGCCCTCTGTTGGACCAAATGCAGAAAATCAATCAAACGTTGTCTAATATGGAAAGTGTCCTCAGTAATCAACAGAAACAATTGACAGATACAACGAAGAAGATGGAGGAGATTTCAAAGAAATGTCTGGTGTCAACGGAAGATACGCAAAAAATCAAGAAGAAGGTCAATAAAATGGAAAAACATCAAGAAGTACAAGATAATAAGCTCTTGATGCTACAAATGGAAAAATCAAACTTGACTCTCCGATTTCAAGGTATACAGGAAGTGGAAAAAGAAGATCTCAGAAACATATTGGCGAACGCTTTGGCACCACTGACTGGCAGTGAAGCGGAAAAATTAAGCGCAGAGATGGATTTGGTCTATAGAGCCTACTCCATCTATACTAAGAAAAACAATCTGCCAGCAGAAGTGGTTGTGAAATTTACCAAGCAACGCATCAGAGATCAAATTTTGAAAGCAACTTCATCAAAACCTTTGAAAATCGGAGAGCAGAACATAAGGATATTAAAAGATGTTCCATTTGAAATTCGTATGAAACGAAAGGCATATAAGGGGCTGACCTTATTCTTGCAAAGTCAACAAGTTAATTACAGATGGTTGATTCCAGAAGGACTGGTCTTTAAGTTTAAAGACAAGAGAGAAAAGATCGACTCCATTTTCAAGGCCCAAGACTTATTGAAGAGGCACGCCAGTTCAGAGGATGAGGCAGAACTCGCCAAATGGGCAGTACTCAGCAGCAAAGAAGACAGCAGCTCGGAGGAAGGGGACAAAGAATCGGAAGGTGGAGCAGCAGCGAAAGGTCCATCTTATAATTTGAGAGGAAAAAAGTGAAGCGCCCCAGTACCTGAAGATGTGTTCGGAAAGCGCAATGAAGGACAGTACTAATCCCAAAGGGATATTATTAACATACTAAAGGTCTTTATTTTTTACAGGTAAAGATGAAAGAAGACAGGACATTCACATAAGAAGCCAAAGATTTGTGCATGCTAATAACAGACTAATATACTAATCAAACATCACTCACCACTTTTCTTGATCCATCTATATACCCTCCCTGTTTTCTGAATTTAAAAGCAATAAAATTCTCTCCTCTTTAGGTATATATATATATACACACACACACACACACACACACTACAGGAACTACTAAATTCCAAGGGACCCTTAGGATTTATGTTTCTACTAGGAATAAGGTCCATTGGGGAAATAAATATAATTGGCTCTAAGAAAGAGGCTCTGGGTGGGTGCCCCAGCCTTGAGCACTCAGCGCGAATTTGCTCTGGCAAACATCAGCAGGGGATAATGACACAGAGTCCACTGTTTTCTCCAGGAGAACTGATCTCTGCCATTTGAAGAGCCATTGTAATTTGGAGTGATCTCCAGCCCTCACCTCGTGATTGGCAACAATGGTTCCCTAGGAGGAAATGGCTGGTTTGGAGGGTGGAGTCTATGACATTGTACCTGTCTGAGGTCCCACCCCTTCTCAAACCCCACCTTCTCTGGGCTCCGCCTCTCAAATCTTCAGGAATTTTCCAACCTGGAGGTAGCAACCCTATCTCCTTCCCAGCTAACCCTCAATGTACTGTTATCTGCCTCTCTGACTTCAGGTTTCCATCTCCTCCCCCCTCCCTGCAGCCTCTATCTAGGAAAAGTACAGTCTCTCTCCGCAGTGGGAACCAAAGCAGCTCACATCATTCTCCCCATTTTGATCTGCACAACAATCCTGTAAGATAGGTTAGGCTGAAAGTTTGTCAGTGGTCTGAAATCACCCCATCGGCTTCCACAGGAAGAACCTGTGTCTGGCAGACCCTGCTCTGAAGTGCTAACTGCTACACCACAGTGGCTGTTCTACAGGGGCTGCTGCTGGTGAACAGGAGCAAGCAGCCAGGCCTTGTTAAGTCATGCCAGTCAGGTGTCATCAAGTCACCCAGAGGGTGCTGCCAGGCCTAGGGTAGCCAACCTCCAGGTGGAGCCTGAAGATTGCCTGGTGTCACAGTACATTAAGTCCCGCAGGGCCCTGATGGAAGTTGGCAGAGAGTTCCACCAGGTTGGAACCAGGGCCGAAAAGGTCCTGGCTCTGGTTGAGGAGAGCCAGACATCTTTGGAGCCAGGGATCTCCAGCAGATTACTCTCAGCAGAGCACAATGCTCTCCCAAGGACATACCAGAGGAGATGGTCCCAAAGATACACTGGTTCCAGACTGCTCAAGGCCTCAAAGGCGTTTTGCATCCAACACCTTGAATCTGACTCAGTACTCCACTGGGAGCCAGTGTACCTGGCGCAGCAGGGCTTGGATTCGTAGGTCTCAGGACTTCTGACCGAATTCTGACCACCAAATGAAAAATCTCTGGATTCCTTGGGGAAAGTAACAGGCAAATTGATCTAAAGCTAAAATACATGTTTGTAATGTAGACTAAGGGTAATACAACCATAAATATTAATGTGAAATAGGTATATTAATTAGTAGCAGGCCACTAGTGGAATAAAGAATGATGGGGATTTTTGAATGGACAAAAGGAATGATTTGTAATTTTAAAAATTTGAAGGATTGGTTGAATGAGGTGGGGGGGGGACCCTGTAGAAATGGATATTAACATACTATAGCCATTGTTTTGTTTCGTGAAATCTGATTTTCTGTCTGTGAAAAACCTTCTCAGACACATCTTTATGAAAATGCTTCTGCCAAGCTGTTTTTGATGATTAAATTAGACTTTGATTGGAACTCTTTAGAAAATATTAAATTCAGTAAAGGGTGGTTGTTGTTTTTTTGAGACACTGCCAATTAAGAGATGCTAATGAGCTTTTTGTTGGTAATGTAATCAGAATTCAGCTGCTCTAATTGTTCAGGGAGGAGGGAAATGATAGTTCCGTGAAAGTTAACATTCGGATAAGCAAATATAACATGGAACCTGGCTAATTAAAAGGGTGAGTTGGGCTCTGTAAAGAGTCGGCCAACAAGGATGCTCTCGCTGGTGCAGAGGCCCTTCACAGACAAGGAGGAGCGGCACGGGACAGGGCCCGGGCTCCCAAACCCCTTTCACTGAAAAGAACTATCTGGATATTATTGTGGGTACAGAAGGTGCCTAATAAATGTTTGTTTTAAAGTATTTACTAAACTATTGATGCTTCTTTTGAAATGCCCTACTTGTCTTGCCTAGGTAGAATTGCCCTCAACAGTTTGCTTGAGAGAAAACTTAGCGACAATTGTTAATTTTGGCCCTGGCGTTTTGCATTTTCCATCCTGGTTCTTATAAGAAGCTTGCCAAGTTCGCGACAATAGTCTGCCTTTTGCGGCTACCGCTCATACCAGGGCCCCAAACTTACCTATCAGTAAGTAACCTTTTTATCCAGCCCTACTTTCAGGGCCTCAAGGTGCATATATAGGGCTGCATCCTGCCAATCATCTCTCCTAATAGAAGGGGTGGGTTTTTGCCATTCTCCCTTCCCACAGTAGACCTGTGACTGTCCCCTGCCCAGCACTTTTCAGCAGCGGTGGGGGGCATTCATGGCTACAGGGGGTGGGAGAGAGATTTGCAACAGAATCTAAGCCATGGTTTTCACCTCTTGTGTGGCAGGTGAAGATGGCTGGTTAGTAAGGCTTACTCCAAAAAGAAAAAAAGCCAGGTAAACGCTATAGCTGATAAAGTGGTGCAATATTATTCATAAACAGGTGTAACCCTATAGTACAGATCGAAAATACATTAGGTAGCCAAAATTATAGTTAACTAGGAAAAAGGCCCGTTGGGGAAATAAATACAACGGCCTCTAGAAAGAGGCTCTGGGCGGGTACCCCGGCCTTGGACACTCAGTGTCAATTTGCTGTGGCGACCTCAACAGGGTATAATGACACTGAGTCCACCATTTTCCTGAAGAGGTTCTTTTGTTTCCTCAGGAAGCAGGAAACCTCCTCAGGAAACAAAAGAACCTCCTCCATTAGCATGTCCATAGCCTGGGGAACTCCTACAAGACGACTCAGCCCTACCCACCTTCTGGAGTAGATATAAATTTACTGCCTACCATTTTCTTCTCACCTTGACACAGAGAGTATTCCATCTTTCTGTGTTTATACCTCTGAGGATGCCAGTCACAGTTACTGGCGAAACGTCAGGTTCTACAATGCCAAGACCACGACCACACATCCCGGAAAATCTACAGCAACTAATGAACTCCGGCCGTGAAAGCCTTCAACAACATATATTACTGTCAGTCTGAGCACTGCTCCTATTATTGATGCATTAGTATAACCCACTCTCTGCTTTCTAAAATCAATGCCTTATGGCCTTCTCCAAAGAGAAACATGTATTTGACACAAGCATCTAGATTTGAATTTTAAGGGCGTGTGTGGATTAAATATGCATAGCCTTTTGAAATTTGGCTTTATTTTATTGTTCATTTCCCCCCCCCCCACAACAAATAAACATACCCAAACACAAACTGGCATGTTAATGTCAATAAGAGGTATAGGCATCAAGCCTTCTGCAAATCACATATTCAGTCTCCAAAATACGCTTAATGTGCGTAGCTAATCTTGCTTTATAAAATAGCAGAAATTGTTCTCCTTTATGTGTAAACAGTGAAGGCCAGTGGAGGAAGCCTTGCTTCAAACGAGGGAAAAGCACTGCTTGAGGAAGTGGGTCATATGGATGTAAAGATGTTTAAGAGAAACACCTGGAATGGCATGGTTCTGGTCAGTGTACCACTAAAAAGGAAGAGAAAAACAACATATCTTAAGTTCAAGAACCTTAGAAGAGCCAGGCTGGATCAGACCACAGGCCCGTCCAGACCAGCATTCTGTTCACACAGTGGCTGACCAGCTGCCTCTAGGAAGACCCCAACCAGGATGATTGCAACAGCGTCCTCCTGCTCACGCTCCCCAGCAACTGTAATAAAGAAGCATACTGCCTCTTGTAACTGGAGGGAGCAGATATTTGTCATGACTAGTAGCCACTGGTAGCCCCACCCCCCATAAATTAGTCCACTCCCCTTTTTTAGCCATTCAGGTTGGTAGCCATCACCACATCCTGGTGAGGATCTAAAGAACCATGCAACTATATGGACCCAAGGGAAATCCGGCTTTGTAGATCCGAAACAACCACACAGGCACATACGTCCCATGATAGACTACTGTTGAGAAAAGCTTTTAAAGCAGTTTGTAGTAAGGCACAGAGGTCTGCGAGTCAAAGAAAAACAATTTAAAAAAATATCATACCAGGAATATAGTAGTTTTCAAGATTTTCAGTTCTCTGGGTACTATAATACATAGGGATGAACATGCTAGGTATTTCATGAGATCTCGTACAGGCTGAACTGTATTAAGTATGTTTATCCTTGCTGGATCCAAGCCATGGAATTGCCACACGGAGACAATTCTCCATTTTGCTAACATTGCCACTGAGATGCCAGAGGAATGGGCAGTTGCATTTGTGGTTCTGTACACAGGTTTTTCCTGGGATCTCCCCCCACAAACACCATCCCCCCACCCCCCCCCCCCGGAGGGCTTTTGCCTGTTTTTTAAAATCAGTTCTAAGATACAGCAACCCGCAATCATTTTTTAAAAACTTGCCCCTGGTTAATATTTTCAGTGCAGTTTAAGTTTTAAGAGTAATCTTTCTCAGCCTTGTGATCTGAGATCTTTCAGCTAGTCTACTTGGGACTTCTGCAAAGTACATGCCCCAGTGGTTGCACTAGGGTCCCCCCACCCACACAACATCAACTATAGCATGATGTTGGTATTCAGACAGTACATTAATTCTTAGACAACTTGATGGAATCTACCATTGCCTGGAAATCCACTTGTGCTTCGACTAAGGCTTTGGAGATCTGCGCAGAGTTCTGAAAATGTACATTATCTGAAATAAAGGGTGAAAAAAAATTAAGAGAAAGAAAGTGGCTGGGGGGAAAAAACTCCACGGATAAATGCTGGAAAGTACGCAACCATGGTGCGTTAGACTCATGTTATGAGTTATCAAGTGATACGGCAGATGTGATCAACAATGAGTCAGTATAGTTCAATGTGCTGAATGGAAAAATGGAAACGCATCTGAAGTGTTGACCCTAATCAAGAGGCACAGAAAAATGCACGATGGTTCTTAAACAAAGCAATTCTATCTCACTCTCTCCGCTAGCTTTTCATAAAGCTCACCATCTGCTGTTCCATGGATGAGAAGATAATCCACATTATGGAAGTTCTCCACCTTGGCCATCACTGTTGAATTCTGTTAAGAAGGAGAAACAAATTAAGAATTTGTCTGCTGCAGAACATCAACTGACTGGTGCTTTGTTACACCTTTCCTAAAAGTTAAGGCTTAAAGACCCTGGAACTTTTCAGGTTGGGGGAGGGAAAGCATGATTGAGGTTGATAGAATTATTCATGGGGTGGAGACAGACAGAACTTTCCCCTGCCTCTCCCATAATACTAGAACTTGGGGGCACCCAATAAATCTGCCAGACACTTTCTTCCAGACAGACAAAAGGAAGTAATTCTTCACTCACCAAATAATTGGAGCGTTTACTGTCAGTATAGTGATGGCATAGTATGGCACAGATGGCTTTAAAAGGTGATTAGACAAATCAATGAAGGATAGGTCCCATCAATGGCTACTAGCCATGGCAAATAAAGGGAACCTCCACATCCATCCAGAGGCGTCTTCTGATTTATTGATTACCCAGTTGAAGAATCCCAAACCTAACTAATTATGCATTTTATCACCTTGCTCTGACGGCAAATATGGGCAGGGTCTGCCATTGGGCGTCTAACTAAACTAGCTAGACTATCAGCATGCATAAACAAACATGTAAATTCTTCCATGACTTCAGGGAGAGAACTTGCAAACTCCAACAGTTTGCCATTGCCTGCCTCCACATCATGACCCTGGTATTCCTTGGAGGTCTCCTATCCAAATACTAGCCATGGCCGACCCTGCTTAGCTTCTGATGAGATCAGGCTAGTCTGGCTCTCCAGTTCAGAATTTAGATGCCTGCTTTAGACCAGACTATACAAGCCACAGCACCCTTGTTTAGTAAAGGTTTACTAAAGGTTAATTGAACAAAGATGGCCCATTGAGAGAAGCTGCAGCCTGAAGTTCTCCAGGTCAGGAAGATCTGTGCCCTAGGATTCTGCTGGTTGTGCATTTCCGCGTAGTAGCTGGCATTTTGTTTTAGAGGAGGATGGGAGGTGGCATGCATATGGAATTACTGACATGTGGCAAACATATGGAATTAAGGACATAAACATGTGGAACTGTGCACAGGCAGCACAATCCAAGCAGCAGAGATGAAGTTCTGTCAATGCACAAGCACCCTGTACTAGTTTTTCCAGGCCCAGCTTTCCCTGCCCCTGCAAGAAAGTTTGAAAGCTTCCACGTGCCCAAGCAATCTGTTGTTGCACAACTGGAAATGGCCCATGATGAAAGTCTTAAGATGCAAGTGTCAAGACATTGCAAAAGAAACAGCTCAACGTTTCCATGTTCTCTCCTTGACAAAAAGCGAGCGGCCTGGGTCAAGCTGACCCAAGTTAATATAGCCCTGATTGATAAACCCCAGTGTTTATGCAATAGGCTTCCCAGTGTTATGTCTCGCGGCAATGAGCTGACTCAGTATTAATCAGCAGTATTACTTAGGTAGCTTCTTAGACAAACTGGAGCCGTGAGTCCATGGAATAACCAAGTCATGTACTGTTCAGTGCAAAAGCGAGAAAGTTTCACTCTCCAGATAAGTAAATGGGCACCAGTGAAGATATTACCGCTATTGATGATAATGCAAGGGTGATGCTCATCCCACTACGCAGTAATCTGATAAAGATGAGAGATGAGCCCCACCCCCAGCACACTGACTCACTGTATGGGGAGAACAGGCATGAGCGCACTGGCCCCACGCCATCTCCATGTGATTGCTCAGTCATCTGTTGAATGTTACCGTATGGAAGAAGAGGCCATGGACAATGCTCCCTCTAAGCTGTGAAGTCTTGGAAGCAAAAATGTTACTTTGTGAGTTACTGGCATTAAAGTTGTGAGTGAGCGATTTGGCTACTGCATAAATTAGTTTGCTCTGGAGCCATCCCTTCCTGAGCTAAGACAAAAATCTGTAAACTGGAAGCTTAAAAACCTGAGAGGTAGCTCACACTAACTCAGCTTAGAGGGAACACTGGCCATGGGTAACCCATTCCCTGTGATCAGCAATATTCTGAAAGAACTGTCACTGATCACGGGGAGGGGATATACATGGGGTCGCACCCTGCAGATGACCGGGCAATGTGTGGAGGCCCGGGGAAAGGCCAGAATCCTCATGCCTGCTCTTCCCTCCTGCGTGATGACTCATCGTGCAGAGTGGGTCATCTGCACTGAGTTTAAGAGGTGAGATACCCAGTTTGGTTCCCTTGGAAGGAAATAATATTGGAGTCCTGCAGTGTCTTCAGCCATCTGGAAAAGGTATGAGAGCATGGGGGGGGGGCGCATGACACCTTATATTGTTCTGAAACAAGGAGAGAAAGCACGGGGGTGGGGGTTGAGGAAAACTGGTTTTTTAAAAAAGCACAATCAGAAATCGCAGAGAATTCTTACTCTGTAGTGCTCAAGGTTGTCTGATTTTGTTGGAAGACCCATAAATCTTTCAGTGTAAATGGATGCTGAAATATGCAATAAAATTAGAATGATTTCTCATATATTCATACATTTCCAGACGTATTGTATTACAGATAACAGCAAATATCATTGGGGTGATCCCATTTATTTCCTTGCTGTGCATTCAGAGGAATAAGTAGTTTTTAAAGCTTTATTTGTCCAGACCAGGCCACAGTGGCTGGTGACCCATGACGTCGATCACAGCTCACTAGCTGTACAAAATGGCCCACCAGCTGCATAAGGGTAGTTATATAGGAGTAGCCAATAAAGACCTGCCTAAAACTGTGGCAGAGGGGGGAGAGGGATACAAGCAAGCACGGAGCAGGGAGTCATTAATGGCTCATGTGCTACCAACTTGGGTCACAAGAGTAAGCACATAATCTATCCAAAGGCAATTACTTTAAAATCCTGTTGATCTCAGTGGAAAAGTATCAAACACATACTTAACTCTCCAACTGACATCAGTAGAACTTAAATAATGCTTACCTTTGGCAGAATAGTACACTGACGTATTTACAGAAGTTTGTATTTTCCTGTGCTTCTGGGAATAGGGGAGAAAGAAAAAAACAACCCAGCAGCATTTGGGGCCAGTTACGGGAGAAGGCCGGTGGAGCTCTGCTCATGTCAAGCTGGCAATATCTTAGACTGAGGACAGCCACCGAAACAAACTCTTTTTGGCTTATAAAAGGGCCGCTAATAGTAATTCTATCTGTGCATGTATTGTTGTCATGAGAAGGGGGGAAATCTAACAGCTGTCCTTCTGTCTAACAAAAACATCATTCTGGGTTCATAAATGGGGAGGAAGGAAACATGTAATACGTTGGGAGTGTTTTTTTAATGTTAAAATTCTCAGAGGCCTTATGGTTTATTTTTATTACAGACATTTTCCCTTTTAAACACAGAGTCACACTGATGGCGTTCCAATGCAATGCACTTTCCAAATAGGATTCTGCATGTGTATCGTTCTTACAGCAGGCACAAGAAGCAGAAGTTGTACGCTTGTTAGTTTACGCTGATTCAGAGAACTGTGGGTGGAGGAGATGGCTGCATGGACCCTGCTGTATTTTCAGACCCCACCTGTGACCCCCCTCCCATCTGCTACCTCATCTCTGTTCTGCTCTGGGTACACAACAGAAGATAAAGGTAAAGGTTCCCTTGCTCGAAAGCCAGTCGAATCCGACTCTAGGATTGCGGTGCTCATCTCTGTTTCAAAGCCGAAGAGCCAGCGCTGTCCGAAGACGTTTCAGAGGTCATGTGGCCGGCATGATTAAACACCAAGGCGCACGGAACGCTGTTACCTTCCCACTGAAGTGGTACCTATTTATCTACTTGCAATTTCTTGCTTTGGCAAGAGCTGGAACTAGAGACGGGAGCTCACTCTGTCATGCAGCACACTCGGGTCTCGAACTGCTGAACTACTGACCTCCCACAACCTGCAGTTCAGCGTCTTAACCACTTGAGCCACCGCAGCTCCTACACAACAGAAACCAAGCTCTAAAATGGCACTGCGTCCCTGTGGTGGTTTCAGGGACATGGCAGCATGAATAAGGAAATGAGGTAGAATTGGATTGACTTGTGCGTGTGTGTTTCTAAAAAAGTTCTTGTATACTGCTGACTACCTGCTTTGATGGTATAATTATGAACTAGTCTCCAAGAAGAGAGCCTCTGTAGAGGGAATTATGTTTGGTCTGAAGAAGAAAGCGTGCTTTGAAGGATACTTTTCTAGGTAATGTCTTGTAGATTTTGCAAGAGCTACTTGTGGTGACTTTGTTTCAAAAACAATTCATTGTTTGTGCCCCACTTTCCAGGATTGGGGTTTCTGGGTTTTTTTCCCCATACCGTAATATTCCCAGCTGGAGACAGGAGCCACTGCAATCCCACATTGAAAGACTCCAGTGCCAGACCCAAGTGCCAACGAGGCTACGTAGCCGCCATAGGACTAGAAAGAAACAACAAGGGAGTCAATGATCTGTGAGGAAACATTTGCCTTTGTAGTAGTAAACAGCAGAAGCCAGAGGGAAGCACTGAGCAAGCCAAGATGTCATCAGCAAAAAGCCTGAACAATTCTCTACGAGACTCAGAAGCAAATAGGAACTTGAATCTCCTTTCCTTTACAGAGTAGCTTTCCTTGCTGGTCACCTTGACAGGTGTAGCCATACACTTCTAGACAGGGATAGCTGATGTAGTATAATGGTTACAGTGTTGGACTAGAATCTGGGTGCTTTTTACAGAGGGTGAAGTCTTCACGAAAAGCATTCCTTTCTCAGCACATCACTCCTGTGGAACACTGTGGGCTCCCCCTAGGTTGCTTTCATTCAAGCTAAACTCACAGCAGATGAGGTTCCTTTTCTTCTGGTTGGAGAATGTCACTTTCCAAAGGATTTGAGTTGGGGATGATTATTGAAAGAGCTGCCATGAAAGAAGATGGATTTTTTGAGGAAGAAGTTGAAAGAAGAGCGAGGCACCACAGGAAGGAATTCCATTCGTTCAAAAAAGAGCTGTGAATCCTCAAAGGATTGTTCTTTGATATATTAAAGATCAGATTGTTCCAAATGAGTGCCTTTTAGTAATACTTGTTCTGTGTTTTTTCTTTCATACCTCAAAATAATGAGATTCATAGTGTTACTGAGGCAAAGTCACACATCACCTGAAATTCAGGTGTACGTTTGAAATCCCCCAGTCTTCACCCTGATCTCTGCTGGTTTCAGGAACTTTAGACTCCCTTCCACCTCTCGCAGCCTTCTACCAGTGCAGTCCTGAACAGTTACAGCCTTCTAAGCCAACTGTGTCTTTAGGACTGAACTGTTAAGTCTGCAGTCCTATGCTGTTGCTTGCAAGTAAGTCCCCTTGAATTTCTGACAAAAAGTGCATAGGATTGGGCAGCATGTGGAACAGGAACTAACAGTCCACTTAACTGATCAGATTCCATTTATGTCCCCATCAAGTGCCATCTGAAAAAATAAATATTAAGTGCCGTCAAGTTGCAATCGACTCATGGTGACGCCTCATGGGGTTTTCAAGGCAAGAGATGAGAAGAGGTGGTTTGCCTTTGCTTTCCTCTGTATAACAACCCCAGTCTTCACTGGTGGTCTCCCATCCAAGTACTAACTATGACTGACCCTGCTTACCCTCTAAGCTCTCATGAGCTCAGGCTAGTCTGGGCTATTCAGGCTACTAGGATCCTTTAAAAAAATCCCTCAGAGCTATAGACAGAACTTTAGTGTGCCGTGTCTAAATAAAGACTTGAAGCGCTAGCATTTAGGAACTTGGCTCGCCAAGCTTCAAGACATGTAACAGAACAAACTCTGATCATCTCTCATAATTTAGTCATTCCTTTTGCAGCTGGAAGGCACAGCTGCCTGCTGCCCGAATTCTAGGGTGGAGCTGTGGGAGTCTCTCCCACTCGCTTCTAATTCCTGGTATAACCCAAGTGTCTGGAATGAGCTCATATCTGGAACTAAGGGTAAGGTGAAGAGACTGGCTTCTAAGAACAGATGGAAAGAGTATTAAACAACTGGATTGCTATAGAGAAAAAATGAATGGGTACAAAATTCTGGGGTCCTGGGTCAGTCTAAAAAATTAGGCAAGCTTCTGCTGATGGACAGTAGTAATATAACTGGACAGCATCTGCCAGGGCTGACAGAAGGGGTATAAAATTCCAGGGACTCTGAGGAGTCAAGCAAGGGGCTAATTGGGGGATGCTATTCATATACCTGTTCTAATCAATCACCCTGTGTGTGTGATTCCAAACTGGGGGTGGAGTGGGGGTGGAAGGACTAGCATTAAACCTTAGGCTGCCGAGAACCTTAGGTAATGAGAGACCTTTAGAACCTTTTGTAACTTTCTAAGCTTGAAATTGCTTACTCTATTTCAACATCCAGTAGAGTATGTTTTAGAACCAGGGACAGGGGATGTGATTATGACCAACTTTTATTTTTCCTTCTGGTTGCAGATCTGGTGCTGTGCTAAAAATATGCTTGTCACCTTTTTCTCTTTTTAATAAATAGGTTACCTTTTGAAGTTGGTAGTGTTCTCTGGGCCACATTGTTCCCCCAACCACCTTAGACCATGGTATTGTAAGAGGGGAGTCCCGGGAAGGGGGGGGGAGAAAAGCCGTCAGAGCACCTGTTGCCAATCCTCCAGGGGGCCCCCAAAGAAGGAATTTGGTCCCTGTGGTAAGCAGGAGCGGGTAGCAGGAGACCAGAGTCAGGGCCACAGTTAGAGAAGGGGTATCGGGAGTCTGTCTCTCCTGGCAAGATGGCTCCAAAAGGACAGTGGTACCCTAGTGGTAGGAAGTGGAATAGCACCCTCCAGGAACTGGCGCCAGCCAAGGAGGGGGCTGGCAGAACAGGGTCTGTAAGTCAGAGCAGACCTGCCACACCCTACAAGCCACAAAATCCTGGCTGCAGGGCTGGTATCAATATCAGTAGTCACTAACTTAGGAGAAGGAAGACACCAGGAAATGATTAAAGAGGACACCACCATGTTTGCATTTGTACATCACTCAAAACCATAATTAAGAAAAAGTGTGGTTAATAAACCAACTTTGAACCATGGTCTCTCAGACCCTGGTTTGACTTATTTATTTCTAGATAGTTCTATCTGGCTTTTCTCCCCAATGAGGACCCAAAGTTTTTTACAACACCATTCTGCCCTCCTCTGTTTTTATCCTCACAACAATCACCCCATGAGGTAGGTTAGGCTGAGAGAGGGACACACACCCATGGTCACCCAGCAAGTTTCCATGGACATATTCGAACCCAGGCCTCCTAGATCCTAGTTCGACACTCCAACCTCTACCTTGTACTGATGTACCCTGCCTAATCACTGTGAGTGAGTGGCCCACATTTGGATGACCACTTCTGTGTGATAGGTGAACTAAATAATTTCCTCCTTCACAAGGACACTTAAGTGTCCGGTTGGACCAGGTTTGTTGAAGTTAAACAAATTTCTAGACAGGGCCTGGATTGGAGATCTCCTGGGAGCAGCACGGAGGCTGCCTTGAGTTCCATAACAGAAAGAAAGGTGAGATATAAATGTTAACAAGCAAACAACAAAGAAGATGAAACACAACCTGGGTCTGAAAAATCATAAGAGTCTGTTAAACACACCAATATATTCCAGTTAAGAGTATACAAATTGTTTAATGGAAAAAAAATGACAAGCATTATTATTTATTACTCCTTAAATGTCATTTGGATGCTGTATAGAAATACAGTCATTTGGATGCTGTATAGAAATTAAATTTAAAGGTAATGCCTTCCTGCAGAAGGTCAGTTCTAAAACAACAAGAAATGGAGAGAAGAAGAGGGATGAGAAAGGCAGAAAGGGAAATGGGTTAAAAATAGAAACTTCACTGGAGCAGAACTGTGGTATTTGAACTGGGTGGAATTAAGGACTGGATGGAATTAGAAAATTCATCTTATTGACCACCCACCCCTTTCTAGATATTATGTTCTACCTACATCAGAATATACTGGATTACCAAATCCCATTTTCTCTTGCATACAGTTATATCAACATTGTCCAGCAGCCAAAGAATTCAGAAATGTTTGTTTGTCAGTATTCGATATAAAATTTCCTGTTTAAAACACTTTCACTCTAGGCATTTGTCCTGTATCTATGTTCCTGGATGGCCTCTCCTATTGGAATTCAGGCCAAGGAGGGACACAGCAAAAACAGTGCCTGACAAAGAGCGCCCCCCCCGCCCCCGCAGAACAATGCAATTAATTAAAGAAAGGAGACTAGGACCTATCTTGAGAGATAAACAGAGACTAACCAACATTTATAAACAGGAAAGCACTGGGCAGAATCAATGAATCATTGGCTGACGTCCCAGTTTAGTTTACAAACACTTGAGCTGTGTACTGCATCCTGGTGACTATTCTCTGTCAAGCTACCCTACACTTACAAAACTGTTTTTAGGGGCAAGAACTTGCTATGCTAAAGACACAGTTGTCTTCCCTCTCTGAACCACCCCTTTGTACTCAAACATGGAGAAACCCCACTGGGAAAAGAACACTGATCATTGAAATGATGGGTGGCTGGTGCAACTGTTCATTTTTGCAAACATCACACGCTAAATGCTCTAGAGGAGGGCGGGGGGGGGGGGGGGAAAGGAGGGCCAAGTAAAAATGCACTCTACTGAAGCTTTGGCAGGAGCAGCTGTTGTTGGACTGTATAAACCAGATACCTGGGATTAATCAATAAAAAGAACATAAAGGCAGTATACATACCCATCCCCATATGGCTATTCTTTTCTCATCAATAAAGCCCATGTCTATAAACTTTCTGTTGGAAATAAAATAAAATAAACTGTTACTTCAAAAACACAGGAGTTGAGAATAACTATCACTATTTGGGGGATTTGCATAAGTGGTTTTTCTTCTTTTTAAGCAAACCATTATAAAAAGTATTAAAGTTGCTGTAATGAATTCTTACTCTGCTAGTAATCACATTATGATTTAAACCAGGTTCTGAGATTGGGAAAACCAAACACAGTGATCTCAGGACATTGCAGAAGGAGGACCCTGATCAGATGGGGTGGGGGGGAATCTTTAATTATGATGCTTATATGTGGCTTTTCCTTTTAGAAAGCAAGACAGAGCAGCTTAGGAAGGTCTTAGAAGTTCTTCAGAGACTGATCTGGTCCAAACCTTCTGACCTACAGCCATGATACTTTAAGTGGTCCCTCAAGACCATTCAGTGGGCCAAAAGAAACAAGGCTCAGAGTTTGCTGGTTGGTTTTTAGAAACAGCATCCACTCCAAGGTTCATACTTGGTTCAACAGGCTTGTTTGACGTTCCTCACAGAAGGCACTTTTATGAAAGACTCAGAGTGTGAATCACACACACATATTGTCTGGTATAATCACTGTACATGCAATTTTTTCACTTCTGTACCACATCCAGCAGCCAAACAGGCCAAAAGTTGATTCTGTTTAGTTTATGAGCTAAGAGTTTATAAGGGCCTTCTGAGAGGGTCAAATAAGATGTCAATGTGATTTTTCTACTACTGACATTTGCATAGGCTTGAATGTAACTCACGATTTACCATGTTTATAATTATCCATTTTATCTTTGTGAAATCTGATGCTATAAAATCCTCTGCATACTCAACGTTTAAGTACTGAATAGGAATGGGCACGAACTGGGATAATGCGGTTCATGGTCTGTGGCCAAACTGCAAACTGAAACCACAAACTGAATTGAACTGGGAGTTTTGTTTGCGCAACAAACTGGTTTGTGGCCCCCAAACCCAGCTCAGCTGTTTTTTGGGCTTTCTTGTGCAGTCCTGTCATGACCAGGAAGTTGGCGCCCCAACTCTTGAGTCCCTCCTACTCAGCCAGAGAACCTCCGTTTTAGCTGAATTCAGTCTCAGATGGCTCTTTTTCAACCATCCCACCATGGCCTCCAACCCATCGGCCAGAGTTTGTGGGGCGGCATCCGGGCAGCCACCCATCTATAGATACTGCTGGGTGTCATCAGCATACTGGTGACACCCCAAACTCCACACCAGCTGAGGGGGCACATTTAGATGTTAAATAACGTTGGAGAGAGGACTGACCCCTGACAGACCGACATATTAAGGGGTAACTAGTTGACACCCTCTCTCCTTGTGCTACCCTCTGTCCCCAAACTTGGAGAAATGAGGTGAGCCACTTCCAGGCTACCCCACGAACTCCTATGTCGGTGAGGCAGTGGGTCAAAATATTATGATTGACTGTGTCGAACACTGTCTGCAGAGGTCGTCCATGAGGGCAACCAGTGCCATCTCCATCCTGTAGCCAAGGTGGAAACCAGATTGGAATGGGCCCAATGCAGATGTGTGATCCATGAAACTCTGGAGCTCTCAATTACCTTAACTACCCAGAAATGACAAATTCAAGACTGGGCAGTAATTGGAAGGATCTGTAGGATCCAAATATGGCTTTTTCAAGAGTGGTACCATTGTAGCCTCTTTTAACCCCTCCAGGTAGACCCCTGAATCCAGGGACAGGTTGATAATGTCTACTAGGGCACCATCGGCTTTCACCAGCCATGAAGGACACATGGGTCTAAGAGGCATCTGGTTGGCCTGACAGTACCCAAGATCCTGTTGACAACGGCCCGGGTGAGCCAGCTGAAGTTGTCAAATACTGAACCCAAAGACGACCAAGGTGCCTCCAGTTCACATACTGTATCAACGTTGGCTGGGAGGTTGTGGTGGAGTGACAAGACTTTATCCACAAAAAAGCTCACAAAGGCCTCACAGCTAATGATCAAATTACTAACCGTGAGAGACATTAAAGATCTAATTATGTTAAATAATTGAGCTGGATGAGAGCTAGCAGATGCGACGGAAGCTGAATAAAATTCCTTTTTTGCAGCCTTCACTGCCACCTCATAGGATTTCATAAACTTCAGTTCGTGAACCATGAACAGGGCAAAATTAATGCCCATCCCTAGTTACTGAATCAATTTTCATGAACCGCATAAGCACTGGTGACACTTAACTAATACATTGATTTACAAAGCCATGTTCCTTCTACTCTTACCCTCTTAGGCCAACATAAATGGCCGTCCTTTCTTGGTTTTTTCTACTATGGTATCTTTTCCCTGTCCTGGATGGCTCAGGCTAGCCTGATCTTGTCAGATCTCGGAAGCTAAGAAGGGTCTGCCCTGATTAGTACTTGGATGGGAGACCACAAGGGAAGTCTAGGGTTGCCATACACAGGCAGACAATGGCAAACAACCTCTACATGACTCTTGCCCTGAAAACTCCATGAGGGGTCACCATAAGTCAGCTGCGACTTGACAGCACTTTCTACCACCATCATCTTTTTCCTTGGGATATTGTGTCTGTAGACTTCTGTCGTGGACCACCCTGAGTTAGAATGGGAACAGAAGTCCTCCAGGGAGGAAAACAACCTGCCCCCAAGCCCTGCCTTGGTAGACCTTCCAAGTGAGATGGACTTTCCAATGCCTCCATACAGGGACCCTGAGCCAGCACCCCTTCAGCCAGCAGGGCCCTCAAGCCTGGATGTCCCAGCATGGACCTGCCCATGACCTGACCCTCCACAGTCTCCTGAAGCACCCCAGGAGCAGAGAAAGTGAAGGGCTAGGGCTGAGGCATGGACCAGGTGCAGGAGTGCATGACTGGCGGCCCAAGGACTCCCATCTGCTAAGGAAGTGCTAGGAGAGACAGAAAAGTATCTGAGCCCCAAAACTCCTCATGAGTAGAGGAACTGAGTCAGCTTGTTAGGAGGAGCCTAACGTGGGACCCAGAAATACCTACAGGAAAACTCTCTAGACAAGGCTGCAGTCAGTGTGGGATCAACTTGTCTACAGCCTTGCTGATGATCCTACCAGTCACCTGCCTGGCTTATGCTCTTGTACTACTTTTGGACTGTGCTAGTGAACCCTGGAGTTGACTTTGGATTGGAATCCTTGTTGAGAGACCAGTTGTGGCCTGGGACTCGCCCCCAATTTGGTGAGCAGGACAACTCCTTCATTTAATGCCCCTAGAGTGTCGGGCTGGGGCACTAAGAACTGGTGTAACATAGTGTTTGGAGTGTTAGACTAGAACTTGGGAGATCTTGGTTCCAATCCCCAATAAAGTGTCCCAGGTGACTTTAGGTCCATTCTAGTCTTCCTCAGCCTAAACTGCCTCTCATGATTGTTGTCAGGACAAAATGGGAGTGGGTGGGAAGAGAATCGTGTCAGTTGCCCCCGGTTCCTCGGAAGAAGAGCAGGATAAAGACAGATGGATGGAGATTAGGGCTCTGGTTACCAAGGGGAATCGATGGAGCTAGGAGAGTCACGAGAATTATGTATGCTGCTCTAGGCTGCTTGGATGAAGAAGGGGGTAAAAATTAATGCATGGATGGATAAGGACAGACTGAAGGGATAAAACTGCAGAGTCTGGGTCGGGTGGGTGGCAATCAAGCCAGGAAAGTCATGTGGGGGGGGGGTCCGGGGGCTATAACCTTTGTTGGTTACATCTAAATATGAATGTTGGTTACATCTAAATATGTCATCTAATCATAGTTAATAGGTCCATGTTTGCTCTTGGTGTTAGGCTTGGATGTGGGAAACTAAGGCTGCAATTTACACATAATGACCTGGGAGTAAGCCTCATTGAATACAGTGGCTTTACTTTGAAGTCAACACACATGGCTCTGGACTGTAATGTTTGGATACTACTTGACTACAAAACTTAATGAGCCGCTTTGGTCCAGTCAGTATCTCTCAGTCAAACTTACCTTGGCCCCAGTCACACGTAAGGGTTTGGGCCGGGAGAGGGACAGATCGGGGACGCAGCAAACGGGCATGAGCGCACAGCAACATCTGGGAAGCGGCGCGCACCTGTCCCTGATCTGGCCCTTCAGGCTGAAAACCCACTGCAAAAAAGAACCACCCCTATAGATGAACTTACCGGAAAGGCCGCGGCAAACGCAGCTGTGGGATCGCCGGTGCGTCCTTCTGCCGGCACATCCGAGGCTCCTGGCCAAACTGCGCATGCTCACACATGCGCAGTTAGGCAGCCTCCCTCTCTGCTTCGTCGCTTTCTCGCCGGTTTCCCCGGCATCTGATCGTGCCGGGGAGAAAGTGCGCGGCGGCTCCTGGGATCTGCGTGATACACCCGCCGCGTGCCTATTTTGGTGCGGCTTTCAAAAGCCGCACTTTGCCTGCGCATTCCCCCCCCCATGTGGCAGGGACCCTTGTAGAGTAAGTGAGGCACAACTACTGTTCTGAGCTACCGTGAGGCTGAAAGTGAGCCTAAAATACTGTTCCGAGCTATTCCAGGAGACAGCAAGAGACAAATGTAACCAACAAAGAGAAAGCATCGTGTAGTGCCAAAGAATGTGGAAAATGAATACTGCCTGACGAGAACTGAGTAAAAAGCTCCAGAAAGTAATTTGGTTAAAGGGAACTGAGCGTGTGGGAGGGATGCCAACTGTGCTCCACGCTTGCTATATATAAACAGTACAGTCCTAGTAGTGGGTGAAGTTAAGTGCTCTGGGAAGCCCATTGGACACAGCCTCTTCAACCAACAGCCCTAAGACAATATTAACAAATAAGCAAGGGGAAGCTATGGGAAAGCAATCTGAGAAACAGTAGCAAGAAAGTGGAGGAAGTAACAGAAAGGAACAAGCAGTTCAAGGGCTGTTTCCTTTGCCCCTGCCAGTGGCTTGAAACACTCTGGCTAGAGGAAGTCAAACAGCAAAGAAAACAAACAGGGCAATTTTCACACCAGGAACCCCGTCAGCAGTACATTTAAGCTGCTGAGGAGAAGCCCACACACAAGTC